ACGTGTGCCCCAAGTTGAATTGAGCAGGATTGTTTAAGCTGAGGCTAGATTCCCCAAGATGTGCAAGGACACCGCTTGCACAGTGGACATCTAGGCTCTACCTGAAGTGCTGATGCTAGCGTGTTGCTGGGGACAGCACTCTAGCTGCTTGGAAATTAGTGTGCGCAGTGCTGGCATTCTAAGTGCCTAGGGTATGGAACGACACAATGAGATAGATGCAGCAGAATACGGTTTTGTTGCACCGGTGTAGGGGATGCAACAACAAGAGCGATATTGAGAGTTCTGTAAAACCGAGCAAGATGTTTTCTGAACCTCTTAGATCAGATTGAGAATTCTGAACCCGAGTTTAAGACAAGACGAATCATACGCAACATCATTTTCCTCGCACGAGCAACCTCGACTGTGTTGAATGCTTGTTCGATTGCACGGTTGACGGCAATGCCCTTTCAAATTGCCCTGCAGGAGCAAATGCACATTCTCATGGAAGCCTGCTATTTCCAGGCGCTTTGTTTGCACATTCGCAGCAATTACAGGAAGTTTCTTGAACTGCCTGCCCGAATAGAGATGCTTGTGGGATCTTGTGGGTGCAGGAGAAAGCCACTTACTACCTAGCCCTTTCGTTGATACCTTTTCAGAAAGCTATTAGTAACAAGTGCCTTACTACTAGGAGCAAGGACGCTACTAGGAACAAGTGCATCGCTACTAGTAACAAGTGCCTTACTAGTATGGAGGAGCTTATCTTTTCAGTATTATACAGACACAAAGTCCGGGTGATCCGGAAGCTACCCGGGGTTCAATTCCTGGGTGCAACACTAGGCGGATCGTCGTGATTCGCGGTTCGTGATTCGTTTCGTGAATCGGTATTCGTTTGTATTCGTTATTCGATGTTCTTCGTGATTCATCGTCTTTGTGACCTAACCTCGAGATTCCTGACCCTGAGATACGTGATTCGTGATCCGTGATTCGCAACCCTGTTTTGGAAGGAAGTGGCCGATTTCTTCCAAACCGCCCCTGAAGTGATTGCAGCAGGTTAGCATGGATGATTTGGCAGCGGCCGATGGGCAGAGGCAGGTCTGTGTTGAGTGATTTGGACCATGGACCATGCAAACCACATGTGGGTGCAGTACTCATTTAGCACCACGTACCATGCACGACCACATGGATTCTCTTTAGCCAACTTACGTACTGGTTTCGGGAGGTCGTTTTTTCAATCGAGACTCAAGTGATACACCCGGAGCCGCATTTGGGCTTGGGACTACCACAGACGAAATCCACGCAAATATCCGGGAGTACCAAAACTGCATTCGCTCCTAGATTATATTCACAGTACACGCGCAGCTCATATGATGTACTTTTGATCTCCACATATTCCATCCATCACGTGCCGATCTGAGGGCCATGAAGATGGCATTGTCCTGCAAGATGGCCATTGATCAGGCATGGATCGCGGCAAAAAGCAGTGCCCATGGCTATAAAGTTCCTGGATTTGAAACCACTTTTGCTGAATAGAGACAAGGTCAGACAGGGTCACAGGACCAGCTACAACCGGTTCTTGGGGCTTCGCATCCTCACCTACCCTCCTCACCTGGACACTGCATTCGAAGCGATCGACCTGAAGGAGTGCATACGATACGACGGGTTTTTTTCGGGTCACAGATGGTCACACATTCGATACATCGTAGACTGGATATCCGCCTTCAACACAAACTTGAAGGCATTTTCAGACACAAGGACATATTCCAACAATCCTCTGCATAGCAAGCACGGGACCTTTCGAAAGTGGTGATACTTGTATGTTATATGTTAATTCTTTTGTACAATAACATGCACACAGTAGTTTTTATATTTCTTGCAGGGATGAGAGGGAGATTTCAACTTGAACATTCGGAGTTGTTCTTCACTTGGAACATTGAATGTCAAGTCCATTCAAGTCCTAATGAGACGGTTGTTTTCGTTGATTTGGTCGTTTTAGGGCAATACCGCCCTGGCCCTCGATGTCGCTTCAGGTGACGGACACAGCGGTGGCCTAAGGTGGTTGACCGGACAGCGAGGCTCTATATAGAAGTTTTGCCCAACTGCTGATTAGCAAGGAATTTTTCTGTAAACTAGGTGCTGTCAGAGATAACAACAGGGACCCTGCACAAGAATTCAGGCATCATGTTGCTAGACTAGACTGCAGGATCGTTTATATTATAGGCACCTTAAGACATGGGTGTCGGGTCCAGTTTTGCTTCCAGGAAGAGGAAGAGCTAACAACCTGGTACTGGACAATGGGGCACGTATCAACAGAGTTCTTGTGACACCGAAAAACATGTGACAGCGCGGTCCCCTCTTCTATTCTACTCAAGACCTTACTGAATAGAAGGTCCTGTATACATATGCATCATACGCAAACATACAGTACATGCTACATACTGTAGATTCTGTAGATAGATAGATAGATAGATAGGAAACCGCCTGAGAAAGACTTAGCTGTGAAGCGTGATGGTCCATGTCCCAAGCTGGACACCCTGGTCATGAAGTCAGAAAGTTGACCAGAGAGGCATGGCCTTCTGACTACTCAGACATATCGCCTAGCTGCATATTTCAATGATGCTATACCAGGGTCTTCCAACTGTGCAATATTTATGCCTTTTCATCCATAAAAATCAGCCAACAGGCAGAATTTTGGCATAGTTAAGAATATTCAGGTATAAGCATAGTATTTTTTTTGGTGGCGGGGCCTCAGAATAACGCTGAGGTCCCAGTTTTGGTTTCCACAAAAGGTTTAAGAACACATTGAAGTACATAAGGACAACTGGCCTTAGCAATTGTTTCCTCGTAGTTCTTCCTCGTTCTTCTTCTTCTGTATTTTGTTGTACACTTGTGTTGTTAAGTTGTTAAGTGCTCCTCCTACTCAATCTTGATCATTTCTGTGCCTGAGGTCAAAGCACTGCATGATGGTACAGATGAGACAGGCGGTCCTGATCATCCTGGCTCTGGGTGGGCGCAGGATCTCAGAAATTTGGATTTGTCGCTGCAGTCTTTTCATTCGACAGAAGGATTGTTCGTTTCTGAGGTGAAGAAGCTGGCGGATGAGATGGCAGAGCAGAACCACCTCATGATGTTTGCACCTCATCTTAGGGAATCGAAAGAAAAGTGGAAATAACCTTCGGAGGTTTCCAAAACAGTTCACGGCCATGAATCTTTCCGAGCGAATGCCACCAGGAAGCTACAATCAAAGCTTATGCTCGTGGAGAAGCAGTGGCAGGCCTTGGCGACGAAAGCAGCTAGCGCTCGTTTTTAGAAGCACGGCCAAGCTGTATTTTGCTTGTTTTGTCATCCTCGATATCCCCACAAACAGGATATCGTGCCATTCCTTGCTTGATTTCAATCCCTGGGTGGTCACATTCAGTGATTCAGTGCAGAGTTCTGTTCAAATGCAGTTGGCCGACGAAGTTGGCTTTGCAAAGATCTCTTCTAGTAAAGCAGAGTGTGAGTTAATGTGAGTTATATACATATTGCAGAGTTGTTTTGAATCCGTAGAATCAGTCTTTGAATTACGAATCTCGAAACTGCGTGTCTAGATTGGCACGATTGATGCACCCGGCCAGATTATCCTTGACAAAAAGTGTGCCCGACCACCTTGCGCCTTGCGTTGTCGCCCGTGTGCTGTGGATCGAGACAGAACGCACCGCTCTGACACAGCGGACGGTGCATATGGTGACGGGGTTGATGTCGGGGTTGATGTCTGGAAATGGCCAGAGCTTAGCGTCTACGTGCTCCATGCGGACACGTGCCAGGGCCGAGGACGCCCTGGAGAACACGGCAGACGAATAGCAGAGGCCTCAGTTGACAAAGCGAGGGAGGCAGCTGACCCAGTCCAGTGAAGTGCGGGGCACCAGCGCGAGAATCTCTTGAGGCCTTGCTAAGAGTCTTGCTAAGACAGACACTTGCGTACCACCTTTCTATATACTTTCAGGGAATACAATGGCAATGTGTAAATTGTGGGCAATCGCGTTTGTGCTTGGTTGGAACATCCTTCTGTGCAGCAGAATGTATCTACAGTTGGATGCTCATGACAGGCATCGCGAATGGTACTCTCACTCCGCGCTCGCTGGTGGACTCTCATGCTACTGTAGGGTCAAAGCTCAAGCTGACTCAAGCTACGTAGTCTGTTTCTGTTCGAAGAGCCCTTATTCCTTTTAGCGGCCTGCCTCCTCTTTGAGCCTATCGTCGTTAAGCACCAAGTGCGGAATTAGCTTGAGTCTGTCCTGCGCTTTGGCCGTGCCACATGTGGCCTTGTTTTTCTTGACCTGTGCAATGTTCATGCACGGTGTGTGAGGGGCCAAGGCCACAACATCTATTTTATGATACTTCCCGGGCAGTCCTGAAACTGGGCGATTGCATGAAGGCTTCTTGCAACATATTGGGTGGACACATGCAATTGTCTCAAAAGCTGGTTTTTGTGGCCTCCTCCAGTCTGTGAATAGGCAACAACGCACACGGTGCCACGAAGCTATTTATATAAATAGACGTGGAAGAAACCACGAGTACATCGCCTAAATTGAAGAGCTGTTTGGTGTTTGAGCGACAGTGTAGAGCGATGAAACCTAATTAGTTGATCTCACCCAGCTCCTATGCAACATCTCCTCGCTCAAAGCGAGCGGCAGCAAATGTTGCCTAGTGGATGTTGATAAAGAGGTTCATAGAGATTGGCGGGTGGATGCGGACAAGACAGCGTGTCACGATTATGACTTCAGTGCAGATAGAGGCCATTGCAGAATTGGGCTAAAAACAGCTTCCTACATACCCAAACACCGTGACTGCTTTTTGGATCTACCGGGAAGTGATACACTCTGCAATCGTTTGGTGGCTTAAGTAGATAGTGATGGTCATATTGCTGCTGACGATACGCAATGGGAGTGAATGCCTACACACAGAGATTGAAATGATTTCCAACAGTTGGCTAGAATCTCAACAGCCCATGAATCAGATATATAGACACCAGCAGTCCCCAAAGATCGATGCGACGACCCTAAAAAAGTGATGCCCAAAGCCAATGGCACAAAGATCGAACGTCCTCTTCAAGGCACGGACGGGCCCGTCGCTCGACCACTCAACACCGTTGGAGTTCACAGTGCAGGAAGTACCCCACTGTTTTTCTACCCTGGTCACTCCGTGAAAAAAAACGAAGCAGGAGTGGTGAGAAGAGGGGCTGATTGCGTCCAGAAACTGCGGCAAAATGGCAGCATAGTAGGCATCTTGGACGGAGACCCAAGAAAACTGTGTAACAAGGAGGACATACTGTTGTGTAACAAGGAGACATCGGCCTTTTTGCAAGAATAACTAGGACGGAGACCCAAAGAAATCACTGTCTTCAAAAGGTAGAACCTAGAAGGTAGATTTTTCAAAATCGTTGTGACCCAACCCGGCACCCCACCCCAACATTGAGTGATTAATTGATTAATAGTCATTAAAGGTGATTGCCAGGCATGAGTCAGAGTTCCTACCGAAGTGCCAACTGTTCCAGAGTGAAGGCCTCAAGATGGATTTGACCAATGGCAGCAGTGTTCATCCCACCACTACCCCAAAAAGTCCACTGCGTACCCACTGTTTGCAAGCTTGAATGTTGCTTAGATCAGACTTTGGTTTGGGGTTGGAATTTTGCTTAGAGCACGCGCAAAGATTGCTTTGCGTTGGGCCTTGAGGGGCGTGCCAGTTGTGAAGACAATTCAAGCCGGTTCTCAGTCACGGCGCACTGTTCATGCATTATGTATGCAATGTCTAGTGATTATATAAGGCATTATATATATATATGGCATTTATATGTGATGCTTAATTCCTGAGCCAGGGTGCGGCTACAGGGGTTAGTGCTTAAGCCTTTTGACACTTAATAATCGCCCGATCTTACTCCACTGAAGACCTGCCGCCTCACTCACCAAGCACAACGCAAGCCAACTCGAGTGCATAACGCCTATAGCCGTGTATGCAGGCCCGAATCTTGAGACAAGTGTTTGCACTTGCAAAGCTCCATGGTAGACTGGCAACAGCGAGGCTGAAATCAGGCTCTAGCAGAACGCCCTCACGATTCACAAGCAAATGCAAAGCTACAGAAATTGCAACTTGGAAGAACAATAAAGATTCATCAAAATTCGGGGGCACACTCACCTGGACCTGCCTTATAACACGTTCCTTCAGTCTTGCGAGCCTGTCGTTCTTTCTTCTTCCTTGTAGTTGTTTCTGCATCAGTGGCGCGTTTTCTTCGTTCTTGAAGCTTCAGTCCATTGGTTTGCGTGGCAGGTGCCTTTCGCGCCGCAAGTCTCAGTGCGGCAGCCCGTCGGCAAAATGAGGCTGGAGAGTCAAGAGTTTTTCTCGACTGCTTGACCAGTCTTGACGGGAACTTGTGTTTGCGTCAGTGAGTCTTTCTATGTTTTTTTATATGTACCTACTCACAATCTTATCAGCGCATCTCAAAGCGTCGTCCAATTGCATGATCCTGGAAAGAAGGTGGATATACGAGGATGTGAGTAATTAGTTTTTCTGTATGACTCAGACCAGCTACTAGTAGTTTGCTTGTCCCAGTGGTATTGTTTGGCCTTGTTTTTTCTGTACTTTGTTGATCGTTGTTGTTTGTCCAGGATACTGCACGAGGATTGAACCCGGAAAAACATGTGCACAAGTAACCTGACGTTTCGTCGGGCACAGAGGCGTTTGCCACCAACTTCAGCATGGCTGGTGCCTCGTGTGAGGGGCGACCAGGCGCTTCCCATCTGCCGAAGCTACGGGAGATGACGCCGCCCGAGGCATCCCGGGACGAGAGTTTTACAAAAGCAAGGGCTGTTTGACCGCTGAGATGGGCAGTGCAGTCAACGAGCTTCGACTGCAGATGTCATGGCCCAATGGCAAATGGTAGCTAGAAACACTTAGATCGTGCTCGCGCGCGCGCGCGCGAAGAAGCATGTGTCCCGGCAAATTGCGCTATGTTCAGGTCATAAAGGTGGAGCAGATCTCTGAACGCCTGGCCGAAGTGAAACGTAGTTATCATGCGTTTGGTGAGGAACCTGAGGAGGCGAGCACAGCTGGGTGGGCAGCCGGACATCCGTGTTTCTGTCACCGCATGTCACTGCTACCAAGAGCCAACATGGATAGCTTTTAATCAAAATCGCAAGGTGAATTTGCCATTCAATTAACAACAATACAGCAATATAGAAATATTGAAATATTAGTCAACAGTCCATTCCTGGGTGAATCACAGACTTGCAGCTTGATCAGATCACAGATCTGAGCCTTAAAAGGTGTACGTAGTTTCACATAATTACGAAAAGAGGCCCGCAAGGATGCTTTTGTAGTTTCTCAGCTTTTGGGCCGGACGAACACATTCGATCAAACATGGCGCCGGTTACGATGGGAATTTTGCAGGAACCACAGAAAGCACCTATGAAGTCCAGGAGACGTAGTGACATGGCCAGCTGTGAGATGGACGAGCGGACACAACGGCTGGCACTCAGACAGTTCGAAGAGATTGACGCGGGCCGACTAGACCCTCAAAGTGTGTTTTCCAGGATTTCAGGCCCGAACATGATGTAAAATCGTATGAAAGTGTGTGTATGTATATAGATATAAGTATAGTATATACCACACACATATTTCACCGTTCTGTTTGGGCATATAAATTGATTAACACGTTGTTTGCGCCCTTCCAGGTGCCGACAAGCGGGTGAAGGTGAAACTGCACTATTTCAGAGATCGTTCAGACCTTGTACTACCTGTGATTGAAGACCGTTACATCATGCATGACCCGAAGAGGGATTGCTTTTTGGTGGACCTTTCCCTTTTGCAGAGTGAGTGCAGCTCCCTATCTGCTCGCACACCCAGAAAGCACGTGAGCTCAACTGGCAGGTTGGATGAAGATGACATGTCTTTTGTGCCTGAGGCAGATCATGTTGGAGCATCTCACGCCCAAGCAGTGGAGCTTTCTGTAGAACCCAGTTCACACCAAGCTGTCTCGAGGTTTGATTCTCAAAGAACCCGCCCTTCTGAACGTAGTGTTCAGACTGCAGAGCAGAGGGCACTACGTTTGATAAGAGCTGCCAGGATCAGAGATGAACGCATCTCCATATGCCAGCATAATGTCAGAAATGCCGAGCTGGAGTGGCGGTTAAATCACTTGCAGATGTCTCAACAGAGAGACCGCCGAAAGCAGTTGGCTTCAGCACAGCGCATTTTGTTTTCTTGGGTGGTGGTGGCTTCTGCAACCCAGTTTATGCAGACTGAGTTGCTCAAGAGCCGGTGGCTCAAAGCTGCAAGATCTCACAACTTTGGCGATCACTACGCCACTCGGTCCAGGGCACACTGGCAGCGAGCCAAGAACCTGGTTCATAAGAGTGTGCTGGAGAGCAGCAAGAACATGCGCGATTTCCGAAAAGCCCCTTGCAATCCCAGTAGCAGGCTTTGATTCTCTTGCATTGTTTGAGTCTGTTGCTTTCGGTACTATCATGTCTTAACGGACTGATCAATGAAGGCTCTATAAGACTCTATAGTGTATGACATGGGGCTGCTTCTCTTGGAAGAACCCTTGGTTGGCCACCTTTCAGCTTCTCTTTCATTGTCAACCACATTAGGTATCCTTACACTTACTGACTTACTGTAATATGGTTTATATAGATGTTTTATTGTTCATATGGGCATATGGAGACAGGTTATATGCAGTTGAAACTGTCGGCATCAAAGGTGAAGATATAGGCCAGTATCTAGCCAGATTGCCAGAGTTGTTGTATGAAAGTTCTCAAGTGATGTTCAAGCTGAATGCACTAGGTTTTACATCTTCGGGCGACCAGAAGCAAAGCTGCCTGGCAGCGATGGGATCATTTGATGCGGATCATTAAGTTCATAACTCGGTTGAGGGTGCGGTTCAAATTCAACCGATATGCTGATGCCATCAAGCAGTTCATTGAGAGCTCCTGGCGTGGGATGCGATTTCGCTCCAAAGTGGGTGTGTACTTGGCCAATGTTCGAGTTCTGTGAGGCCCTCAGGCATTCTGACAGTCTGCACATCGTTTTGTTTTTGCGGCATTCAACGCCCGATGTATGGACTCCAGCAAACGTCACCTGCAACACCTCCAAGGCAACGTGCTGTCCGCGCTGCACATCGATTCCGACAAAACGTGAAACTTTACATTTTTGCTCCCACGCTCTGGGAATTGGAGACACAATTGCTCGGATGCTTGTCCCTTTGGCATGCTTTTCAATTATATATATATACTTATATATATATACATATTCCGGTTCTGTCAAATCAATGATTGGAAGACTCAATGTTTTTGAAGAGTTTCAACAAGGGCTGTAGAGGTCCTGTTCGATGACTACAATATATAATCTTCCAAGTTTTGAATTGAGGGTAAGGCATTCCGGCAAGCCTGATATGTATCAGGACCTCCCAAGAGCCGATAGCTCTGATGATTGGCTCGCCTCTGAGCAAGGGCAAGACGCCATGGTATGCCTCATGACAACACCAAACAATTCTTGAATATTCATGAATACCATGCACCTCACAGCGCGCGCGAGATAGAAGGAGGTAAACATTAAGGACGCGTATATAAGGACGCCAGATTTTTCCTACTTCCTCCGAAGGATCAATGGAGGAGCTGATGAACCTTTTCTAACATTGGAGCAAGTATGTGGGACCTTTGCTATTGGAGTTTACTTTCCGCCGTTCCATTCTGATTTCAAGCTTCTGGCAACAATCTCTGGTTTGTTCAGGACTTCCCTACCTAACTTACCCCCAGGTTTTCTTGTTTTGTGTAAGAAATCAAGTTCTTGTACCCACTATCTTACACTCCCAACTTGTAAACCGGTGGCAAACCTGTATCACTCCCATCGGTATCAAGCAAAGTATCCCAACCCTTGGAAACATGTTCGAACAATAGCCATGGAGAAGCGAGTCCAAGTGGAGCAACATCAGCGTGTTCAAACATCAGCCCACCGAGGACAAAAACTGAAAGCGCACCTTCCGAAAGACTACACGAAGCAGAAGGTCCAGCAGCATCGCCAAGCCTGGGAAGCTTGCTTCGGCAAACGAACAGTGGGCCTTGGTGGCCTTGGTGTTACCAGTGTGTGGTGCACCAAGTTGGAAAGTGTCCAGTAGAATCATGTTGAGACTCATAAAGTTTATAAAGACGAGGACAAAACTGAGCGTGGTTTCCTGCGGCTCTCTAACAGTGGTTTTCCGGTTTCCGACACATCGGTTGAACTCCAGAGGCCATGGCCATGGACTAGGCGCTTGCCTTAAGAGTAGGAGGTAAGATAGGTAAGTAAGCTACTAGGAGAAGTGCGCAGGATAGCAGGCTAACTCACGCAGGATAGCTCACGCTTCTTCAAGGAAGTTCCTCCAAGCCGCCATGGTATGGCAGCTTCCTTGAAGTACTGATTTGGCTCCTAGATTTTTAGGGAAACTTGATGGCTTGCTGCTCCAAATTGCCACCATTCGTGCATGCCAAGTTTCTCCGCACCAATCAATTGATCAATGCACATGGATGCACAGGGGACACCCTTGATAGTGTGTTTGATTCCACTGCTGCCCACCTGTGCTGCGCGTGCACTTTTAGGGGAGCTGAAGTTAAGTGTTGCTGGGCCTTACACTTTGGAGGCACGTGGCATATGCACTCAGTTGAACTGGAACAGTTTTGGTTTCTTTGGTTTTGTGCGTATGCGCCAGTGAAACCGTTCACCCCCCAGCACACCATTTTTGTGACTTTGCTTTTGACACCAAGGATTGGGAAGGTCGTGTTCGAGCACTTCAAGAAATGTCCAAGGAGAGGAAAATCAAAGGACAGCAGGGACGGCATGCATTCAATCTGGTCATTGCATTCGTTGAACATTGATTTGTGGTCGCTTTTATCGTGCAGAGTCAAATTTGAGTCGATTTGGAGAGATAGAGAGTCAAGTCCCAAAACTTGTCAAGGAGTCAAAGGTCCAATGGATGAGACTCGCAGACAAAACATGCTGGCGAAGGTTGGGTGCATGCAGGTGACACAGTGAGACCAATCAAAGGATTAATAAGAAACAAAGCTTTGCGAAGCTCAAATCCATTCAAATCCCCTGGCTGTTACTTGGCCTTGACGTATTGCTGTTTTAGCATGTATCAGCGCTTGAGTGTCAGTGGTCCATCGCTTGAGACAAAGTTTAAGCCTGTTGGTGATGAGCAACCGTGAGCAACAATCGTACGGCCAATTGAGCATAGGTACAAACATATGGGTGCGTTGATCAACTTGAATTCGACAACTAACCACATAACATAGCGTCAAGCATACTGTGCCCATTCGCAGTTGTGGGTTGCTGACCTTTCAAATCCTGACTTTTCTCGGCACTGGAGGAAAACTTCTCAATGTCAGTTGTGCTGGTTACTTTTTCCATTCTCTCGCCTTGCGCTAGACCCCTCGGGAGGCCAAGGCCCGCAGCGGCGAACGCCGCCGCCGAGGTGGGGTTCGCATTGGGATGTGGCCTGTTTGCACTGGTGGTGTGCACGAAATGGGCCGGCCCCAAATGCCCAGAATGCATACTCCAAGTTCATGATCAGATGTGAGGTACAACGAGCGCCACGTGATCTTCTCGGAGCTTGGGGAAGCCATCTCTGGAACTGCTGCTGATAGAAAGCAACAGCAGGTGGGATTACTCATGACTACGACTTACAGGGTATTTGTATAAGCATATATATAATATATGTAATATATATAATATATATATATGCATGTAGGTGCGACATCAGTCACGGATATGGTTGTATTATCCACAGTTTGATTTTTTGTGGCCAAAGGATTCTGTGGCATTCTCGTCCCATCATAGACAGGTCACAAGGAATTGTGAGATGATTGCTTTTCAGGCATGGAAGGTGGCAAACAATGTCCTTGATTCTCGGCGAAGTTATTTACTGACCGTCAATTCGTGGGCTTCGCCGGCTACACTGCAGATACGGGTGTGTGATATAGATAGATATATAGATAGATTAATTTATTCGGATAAATAGTACAAGAAGACCCGCCAAGTCAAACGGATGGTTAATGCATCAACCAATTGTGGCAATTTCCGGCACACAAAGTTGAATAATCCTGGACAAGTTAAGCAGATGCGACTCTTGGAAAGGCTGAAGAGATGACGTTGACAGTGAGTCACTTGCGCAAAGGCATAGCTCATTCTATAAGGACCATTACCGCCTGGATGCAGAGACAAGGAAGAGTGTGGTTAAGAACTCCTTTCATCATGCCTTAGAACGTTGGAAGGCTGGAGCTCGAAGGAGGAAGCCAGACAACGCTTCCTTTGAAGTTCCATTGGTTGTGGCTGTGATCCATTCATGCTTGTCCTATCGAGCGCCAGTGTATTCAACGTATTAATTACACCAAGTGTTCTACATAAGTATCACCAACTGGCTGCAGATGACCTGGCACCCTGACACACCCTGTCAGATTGCTCATGTCGCCTTCAAGAAGGAGCAGAAGCGCTTGAACGTGCTTTGGCAACAGTGGCGACTGGAGATTCAAGCACTTGGAAAGATGCAAAAAGAGCACTGGCCCAAACCGCCGCCTTATGTGGAGCCACCAACAGAGCTTTTCAAGGTTGATACAAAGAAACTTGGCTGAAAAGACTTGAAGACTTGAAAAGCAAATGCAATCCACGAGTCATGGTAGCCAATAAACACAGCACAGCCATCGGAAGCCGCCAAATCTGGCGGTTTTGAGAGCCCATGAACTTGGTTATTTTGAGCAAGTCCCTCGACTCGAAGATGTACACTGATCTTCGGTTGTGACAGCCCTTTCATCACAAGTTGTAGTGGCGTTGTGCTTGAACTCAACTACCTTGTGAGGTGGAACGCTGATTTGAGTGATTTGACATGTTACAATGTTGTATTCCAAGTTGCACGGAAGATAGTCTGATTGTTTTCTTGGCCTCTTTTTGCATGAAGAATGGCGACTCGCGGTACTTGTAGAAGCTATGTCGATCAGCTCCCTTGCCACAACTCTCTACACGCTGATGTGCATGCTCCCCTTTGTGTAGAGGTGAGGGGTTCTTGCAAAGATTTGAAGCCATTGAACACTTGAAAACTATGTCTCCCACACAATATGCCAACTAGACTCGACATGACCATCAGCAGTCAACATCCAAAGCCAGCATTGAGTCACTGCTGAAAAGGCGAACCTATTCTCGCCACTGCAGATTCGACGGTGCTCACCCCAGTATCGACACACATTTTTCTTGACACGCCTCCCATGGTCCATCATTTAGCTGCTAGATACAGTTGTTAAAAACTAGCGCCAGGGACTTCCACTTTCTGCTACCAACTAGGATCTAGGGAGGCATCTGTCTAATAAAGCATGGCATGCCGCTGCCTGACTCACTTCGTGATGGGTGTTGGCCAGGAAGATGACATCACTGATAATCTCTGGCCTTGCGCAGACAGCTTTGGGTCGCAGCCTTTTTGCCCGGGACTTCCGTGATATGAGAAACCTATCCTTGTGAAGCAAATTCAACCAGGAAAGATAAGGCAAACTTGCCATGGAAATGTGGCCAAAGAAGTGTTTGAACACAGCATCAATTGGTGCTCACGATTGGTGCTCAGGGCGTCATGTTTTGAGGCCCGTTAACGGTCGTATTTTTTGTCATGAGATTTGCAGAAAAAGTGCAGATCGCACGACAATCCCTGAGCAGCTGCTGTTTCCAAGTTTCAGCACTTCTCAGATGTGTATGGACATATTGTCCTGAGCAAACGTACGTTATTGGCATTGGCTGTACAGGTCGCCTTTTTGCATGGCATGCAATGCTCCATGCTTTACAACCAGGGGTGCGCACAAAAGCTCCAACGGCTCTTCCATGACTACCTTCAGCTGATTCTTTATTTTTTGAAGTTTTCGGACTCGAATCTGCACAGCATTACGACTTGTCAAACCTGCAAACAAATTGAGAGTTGAAACCGGGACCTGGATGTTTCTGACGATGTGCGTACTTAGAACCGCATGTCATACACATACTTTTGTTCGGCTCAAGCTAGCAACCTAAGCGAAAGTGCTCTCGATTCCTCTTGGTTCAAGTTTTGTGTCATGGCTCCAATGAAGGCGATGAAGGCTATGAAGGCTATGAAGGCCATGGCGGCGATGAAAGTCATGACAAAGGGAGCTCTTACCGGCGATTTGGCTGATGCTGCTGGCCTGAAGAAGGGTGACGTCAGCAAGGTGTTGGAAGCATTGGCTGAGATTGGCACCAGGGAGGTCGGAGACCTAGAAAACCCAATCTTAGCGTGTAGAGTAAGTAAGGCTCTCCGTAAGTGTGAATATTTCTGTCCCACCGTGAAGTAGGTGCGCACCACCAAACATGCTCGAATGCATTACTGTATATCAGGCGATGAACAGCTGAACAATGCAAAGGACACACGACCAATCCTTGGGCAAGCATGTCAAAGCCCCCAGTATGCCCTTGCCAAGCACTACAAGCTATCTTTGCAAGTTCTTGAGCAGCCTGACGTGAACGAGCTTTTGTATCAATGGTATATAGCAGTGTTCACAGACTGACTAAACTCTCAAAAAATCTCAAAGATCTTGAAGGGCAGCAAGACGTGCAAGCCAGTGTTGCGTGGATCAGGGTAGAGTCCGATCAGGATAGTATTTTGATTTTGATGGCTTCGCTGTTTAAGCCTCAATAATTGAAAAAGGCTTGGGGCCAGGCACAGGCCACTGACTCCAGAGCTTTTTGGTGTTCCCATGCCTGGGACAGGTCAAAAAGAACGGGAAATTTGTCGTGCAGGGCCTTTGCATGATCAAGACTCGTCTCAAGAAGGCCACCAAGGCCGGCAAGAAGATGATGTTTGGAAAGGAGGTGAAGGTCAAGGCGAAGCCTGCGAAGACCGTCGTGAAGGCATTCCCTGTTGCAGCTCTGAAGCAAGCTATTTGAGGCAGCCGAAATACAGTAATTCGACTGTCAATGACTGGCTGCAGCTTGCGAGTTGCAGAACCAGATTTTGGAGACTGGCATGGTCTCATGTATATTTCATCACCACTTTATGGGTAGATGCTTGATCCATCAATCAATCGGGCCGGCCGAAAGGGATAGCGCCACTGCGATTCTTTCAGGGCAACATAACATGGCTTGAACAGTTTATTTGCGGATGCACCCATTGACAAATGGCTCAGGGGCTGCTGTCGCCGTGGTGGTCTCGAAACATGACTTCCGAAAATCTAGCCGACTCCGACCCAGTTACCAAGACCTTCCCTAGGGCACAAAAGCATGTAAAAGCCATGGTACAGTAGCCGATAGGGGGAACATGGGGGAACCAAACCGCTGATTGCATTCATGCATGCTGCATGCATTCAATCGTACAGTAAAGGTTGGTCAACCGCTCAGATTGTCTCAACTTGTTTTGACTTGAAGAACATGGACTGTCCGGTGATCCGTGCAGAGATTGCGCAGGCAAGGCCCCAAGGCGAAGTGACCGGTGCAAACCGTTTTCACCAGGATGGACCAGTGACCGGTGCAAACCGCTTTGCGACGGTATTCGCGTTTCTTTGTTTTGCTTCATCGACTTTTCATGCTGCAGTTGGGCCTTGGAACATGCGATGTGATGTGGCACTATGCAACTGAAACTAAAGAGACTAAAGGCCCAAAGAAGGCGCGATGCGGCAATCGAACGAGCACAAAAGCTGGAAGAGGTGCAACTTCTGCATGATGCGGGAATGCGATTTGTGTCATGGCAGTGTGAAAGGCGTTAAAGAGAGGGCAGGCAGGCGTGTCTCGTTGGATCTTGCTTGTTGTTTGTAAGCACGACTGTCTTCGATGTATAGTAATTGACTTACAACTTAAATGGATCGAACTGATCGAACACTTCGTTGCAGGTCAAACAGCGGGAGTTGCTTGCACCCAGTCAGGTGTCAGCACTTTTCAGTTTTGTTTCGCAAACCCCGATGGTTTGAATCAACAGCAGGTGCTTATGACTCATGACTTGTAGGTTCCCCTTGTTTCTGCTGCCGGGTTGCTGTGGTTGCCTCAGAGGTGTTTGGGTAGCACACCTTTGAGTCCATACTTTGTAATTGAGCGAAGTTGAATGAGGCAACGAAGCGCCTTGAAATTGAAGGAGTGCCATGTACATCGCTGTGAGATGTGTTGGGCATGGGCAGGCTAGTCCCCTGGGGTCGTTTTGAATTGGGACATGTCTACTTTGGCGCAACAAGGTGATATTGGTTTGTTTTGAACAATCAGTTTTTTTCTTTTTTTATCGTGAAGGTCGGTCATGCATGCTTCCTCCAGACAGTATATATTTGACTATATTTGACTGATTGTTCTTCATTGACTCTTAGCTTAGCACATCCTTTGACCGGAACCATGCACCGTTTCTTTGCCGACCAGTTGCGCATACCTAATCAGGCTTCGGTACCGAATGAGTATAGGCGCCCTGCCCAGAAGAAATTGAGACCCGAACGGGCCCGATCACATACGAAGTCTCACTATATTCCTGGTCCAAGCTGCTGTGGGGGTCTGGACTCTTGACCAGCAACGAGTCTGGGTGCGGATACGTTCTCAAAGGACTGCCTTACACATTCAGATTTTGTTGCACATGAATCTATCGGGTTGACAGTTGACAGGCATTTTCAGAATTCACATGCATTACATGACTGTTTGCAGCAGAAGTTGGAACATGACAACAGCAGAGCATCCAGGATGCAAGCTTGCCCTGTGAACTATGGCCGTTGGCACCTTGTTTATCATGACTCATGACGGTTTCTTCCAATATAGGCATAGATCGACCTCATACGCCAAGGTTTGTTTATTCTTCAATCGCTCGTGCTGCTGTTCCTGAGGCCAGGACTCGGCAATGTTGGGTTGATATTGCTAGCTTCACACTGAAGTGAGAGGTCACTGTCGCAGCTGACTTCGTGCATTTTCTTCAAACAATGTTCCTTGCCTCTCCCTCTCCATCCCTTTGCTAGGTAGTTGTGTCTAGACTACGGCAGCAACTGGATTCCCAAGAAGCTGCGAGGCAAGGGTCAACGAATATACAGAAGTGATGAAGATATATGAAGATATTAAGGCAATTGTACTTTGTGGATGAAACCAACATGTTGTATACTCATGCCACACTTCGCAACACAACTCCCCGCTCAAAACCGTTCAACACTCCCAAGTGGACTTTCAAGCGGAGAGATCCTCTTGCTTTTCAATCGATTCGAATAGATAGCTCTCGGATGTTTGTGAAAATTGGACCAGCTTTGCCCATGAAGTATGGCTCACAGGAAGGTTCTACTTCCCAGCCTGTGGCCTAGTGTCACACTAGTCGTTCTCAAGTCACCAGTGATGTTCATGACCACGATTAGTCAGATCAAACTCCCAACACGTTGGCTCTGGTCGTATTCTCGAGAACCACTGGATTCATGAGCAACACGAACAGGCGCTGGCAACACCCCCTTTATCATCCTTACAACTTACAGTATACCCTGCAGTGAACAAGCTTGAGTTGGCATAGTTTGGGCCACGCCACAATTGGTGCAACATCGACAGCATGGAGGTCCAGCAATACTCACCTAAGCCTAGCAACTCATCCCCATCTCGATATTCCGTCAAATCTGGAAGGCAAGCAACAGAACAGTTTTGACAGCACCAATAGAACTGGTTGGTTGGCGATAGCAAATACATTCGTACTTGTACCTGGCACGATGAATCCCAATGAGTCAATGAGACTCAATGACTCACGAGTGTCCCGTTGTGGGTTGGACGAAAACGACACCAACAACGAGACCGTCACGGGTACTCTTCCGTCACGGCTTTGGAGAGCCGCCAGGAGGCTCTCCGTTCGACCCGTCCTGAGGTCCTGACCGGGACTTTCAAGGTTGTTTGCCGCTTGGACTGTTACTCAAGGCTGAAAACAAGGTACTCGTGGAACAACACACACAATGCATCACAATTCATGATTCATGTGTGTATGATGAATGATGTATGTTTGACGCTTGTGACTTACACCTTGTAAGAGACCTTCAACCATATCAAATGCAAGAACGCCGCAAGACAAGATAGGATGTCTCAAACTTGCAATTGCAGTACAGTGGTAAGTAAAGTGGCATGTACTGCCGAAAACCACTCATATCAAGCAAACACTGGCAAGGTGGTGGTTGTCCATGTGTTGGTGGTCGCCTTGTTTATTGGCTACAGTAACTTGAGACCTTCTAGTAACAAGAAGCTACTAGTAACAAAGGGCATCGCTACTAGAAGCAAGAAGCTACTAGTAGCTCCTGGCCTTACTAGTTACTAGTAGTAACAAGAAGCTACTAGGATCCTCAGGCTAGAGCTGTGCCGAATCCTGGGCACAGCGCTTCGCGGCCACGACGGTTTCAGCTTGGAGCTGGATGAGGCGCCGGTCTGGTCGACAACATCGGAAGAAACGCCGATCTCACAGGAAAACATCACATGTCATGCACATCCCTTTAGTAGAAATGCCCTTTGTTACTAGTAGCTTCTTGTTCCTAGTATATAGTACAGCCAGGAGCTACTAGTAGCGTCCTTGCTCCTGTGAGCAAACCTGGGAGCCTTCAGGTCTGGGGTGTGACGCAGAGGAAAGGTGACTACAGTGCCGTTGAGCCAGTTTCCTCAGCTTTTCCGCTTGCAAGACTTGGATTGAATATGATTGAATGCTGCTCACAGTGCTGAGTAAAAAAGCACAAAGCAAGAAGCCCTAAACTGGAGTGGCCCTAGCAGTGTCGCCCGCAGGTCCGACGTGCTTGATGTGGTATCTATATGACTTTGTCAAAGTGCGCTCACGCTTTAGTAACTGCCTGCTGCTTGCTGGAATGCGGGTTGTCAGTGTGGGTGTCTCTATTGTTTGGTCGATTGGTGTCTGCCAGAGGTGAACCCTGTGCTCGACGCTCACCCCCCCCTCTCCCTCTTTTTTCTTTTTCTCTCTTTGTCTCTCTCATGCCTACCGGCCTATCATGACTCGCCGTCACCTGCCTTTGCCAGCACAAACACGCCATTGCAACTAGCTGTTGGGTGTTCATCGGGTACTACGATTTGTTCATCGTGCTCGCTTTGACCGAAGCTGAGCCATTCTGTGCCCAGGGCTCATCGCACTCGGAAGTCTCGAGATGGCTTTTCGCCTTTGTCCCAGTCGTGGAGTTGTAGTGAGCCCAGGGAGCTCGCATGGTAAACAAAGTATATCTAGAACTGTAATGAGCTCCTTACTTTTTTTTCCCCTCTTTAGTAGCTCGCTATGCTTGTATATAGTTGTTACTATAGTTGTTTTTCGATTCGGCTCCTTCAAAGTGCCGGGCACTGCGGAATTGTGGGGACCTTGGGGTCCATGCTTCAGGTGCATCATGGACTTGGTCTTGCCACCATCACTGAGCAGTGAAAACCATGAGAGGCTTGGCCCGTTTGGAACTTCCGAGTGGATGTCATTATTGACACATGGCTGTAGCCGTAGCCAATCTACTGCCCTGTGAGGCCAACAAAGGGATCCTATGGCTTCCACGATGGTCTCCACAACCTCCTTTGGAAGGGAGAAACTTTGCATTCAACAGGTCAAACTCTGTCCCCAACATGGATTCCAAAAAGAAATAAAGCGAATAGAATAGAACAATATTTGATCAGCAGATAATACAATGACAACCTGTCCTTGGCAAGCATGTATTTTTGTTGTCAACGAAGAGCAAAGAGAGACATACTGTACTGTCATTTGTTGGAAGTACAAGAAGATGCGACGCAACCAAGACAAGCTAATATGAAAAAAAGGACAACTACTTCAAAGCAAGGAAGCAACGATCCAAACGCAACGCAAACAAAATGACATTTATCCTTGGCGCTTGAATGCATTCTGGCGAGGCCTTGAATTAGAATTGAATTTGACTCACACATGATTTCATGCCTTGCCGACCAATAAGGATCGCACTACAGACAAAGATGACTTGGTCCAGCCTGGTATTATTCAGCTCGTGGGAGGCTAAGGAAGTGCATCACTGAATGCATCGTGAAGGTTTCTGAATCCGAGGAGTTGCGAGTGGGCCAACTCTACGTCTTCCCAGATTGGGTGTGACCTTGAGTTGCTATGCGTGAGCATCCAGACTTCAAACCGACACCTTTAATTCTTCAATGCAAAAAAATAGAAGTGGAACATACAAAGTGTTCTCAAAGAGGTCTCTCCGGTCGCACATGCACTCACCCGGTACACATTGTGCACCTGACTGCTCAAGGTCCAAACTCTGACCTATCC